TTACCATTCCTGACTTGAAATTATAGTACAAGGCTACTGTGATAAAATCAGCATGGTACTGGCAACAAAATAGACCTGAGGATCAATGGAATAGATTAAAAGACACTGAAGCTCCTAGAAACACACTCAGCCACCTTATGTTTGACAAAGTGGCCTAATGTTCTCACTGGAAGAAAGATAGCCTCTTTAATAAATGGTACTGTAAAAACTGACTCTCTACATGCCGAAAACTCAAACTTTTCCCGTGTCTATCACCATGCATTAAACTAAAGTCAAAATGGGTTGAAGATCTAAACATTATAGCAGAGACACTAAATCTCCTGGAAGAGAAAGTGGGAGGAACTCTTGAAGACATAGGGGTAGGCAAATATTTCATGGACAGAAATCAAATCACACGGGTAACAGTTGAAAGACTTAATAATTGGGACCTGCTCTTCCTGAGAAGTGTTTTTCACGTCAAAAGAAATTACCAACAAAGTGAAAAGGGAACCCACAAATTTGGAAAAAATCATGACAAATATGTACTCAGACAAAGGTCTGCTCTGTAGAATCTATAAAGAACTAAAAAACATTAGGGCCCCCAAATTTAAAGACCCAATCCAGAAGTGAGCATTGCAGATAAACACATGCTTCTCAGAGGAAGAAATTAAAGAAGCAAATCAATATATGATAAAATTCTCCACATCAGGAGTCATTCGTGAAATGCAAATTAAAACCACATTGAGATATCATCTCACCACAGAAAGAATGGTTATCATAAAGAAATCACCCAACAACAAATGTTGGAGAGGCTGTGGGGAAAAGGGAACCCCTCTCCACTGCTGGTGGGAATGTAGACCGGTGCAACCATTATGGAAATCAGTATGGAGATTCCTTAGAAAAGTTGGTCTGGAAATCCCCTTTAAACCAGCTACTCCTCTACTGGGAATTTTCCCAGAGGATCTGAAAACATCATATCATAGTGATATAAATGTTTGCCTATGTTTAGTGCAGCACAATTTGTGATAGCCATATCTTGGAAACATCCAAGATGCTCATCACCTGAGGAATGGTTGAGAACGATGTGCTATTTTTACACAATGGAGTATTATTCAGGCATTAAGAATGATAAACTGGAAGCCTTTATATTGAAGTGGATGCCACTTGAACATATACTCATCAGTGAAAGAAACCAGACACACATGTGTAAATATCGTATAGTCTCCCTAGTATAAGAACTCCAAAGGAGAAATAGAAATAGAAAGGTATAATACAAGGAAAAGGAAAGCAGGATCTCAAGGACTAACTAATCAAGAGAGGGAAAGGAGATGAGCTAGGAAACATGACAATCTTAAGCCATGCAGGCATATGTAAAAGATGAGCAAGGCAATGATATGGAGAATATTCAGAAGATTTTTTAATCTAGCAGTTAATTGGAAAGATTCTCACCCTGACTGACTATATATACTGATACCTTTGAACTAGTCTACTGCAGTGCAGATGGCAATTTGTCATAGTGGTTTCATGTTTTGAGCTCCTCTCATTGTGGTATTCTGAATATGGGCTGCTTGTCATGACATGCCAGTTACTGCTA